CACTGGCCCCGGGCGCGCGGCTATGGGGGAGCCCCGGCCCCGCCCCGCCCTCTGGCGCCCAGCGGACGAACGGCCACGCCCCCTGGCGCCCGGCAACCTTAAATGGTTGGGGACTACTGGTCTAGAGCAGTGGTTCTCAACCGTGGGCCATATGGCCCCCCAGGAGCCACGCCCTACCTCTAGGGGGCCACATGGAAAAAAACTGGCCCCGGGCGCGCGGCTATGGGGGAGCCCCGGCCCCGCCCCGCCCTCTGGCGCCCAGCGGACGAACGGCCACGCCCCCTGGCGCCCGGCAACCTTAAATGGTTGGGGACTACTGGTCTAGAGCAGTGGTTCTCAACCGTGGGCCATATGGCCCCCCAGGAGCCACGCCCTACCTCTAGGGGGCCACATGGAAAAAACGGAACATTAGGTGAATGACGTACCTTGTTTTCCATCTCACAGTGGCTATGAGGGGGGCCACAGAGGTAAACAAGGCTCAGAAGGGGGCCATGAGCAAAAAAAATGGTTGAGAAAAACTGCGCTAGAGCATTAACCTATCAGCTTTTGCTCCTCGGTTAACTGACGACACTGTTGCATCCCTAGTACAAATTACAACCAGCAAGGCGCTTGCTATCCCAGCACAGACAGGAGATGCCAGGGGAAGGACCCCTGGCTCTCTAGCTAAGGCATCTCCACTAGGCTGCTTCAGGAGGGGCGCCGCCCTTGAACCGTGCACTGACATTTTCCATGCCAAGTGCCTGCTCCCAGCACTACTGCAACTGGCCTCGCCTGTCGGGGGGAAGGGCCCAGTCTGCAGTGCAACTGTCAGAAGAGACTTGAGCAAGACCTGCAACACTCCTGCTGAGCAGACAGGCTTTTGTGGGCCTGGATGGAGGGGCCTCCAGCGTAAAGGATGGTGGCTCCCAGTTAGCTAAACAAAGCTGCCCCCACTCCGCAACCCGGTGCCTGCTCGACAGGGGAAAGGCGGCAGATACAGCCCCTCCCAGCACCCCGTTGCTCGCTGACACATGATTTTTCACTCTGGAAGCCCCCAGGTCAATCCCCCCTGTGTCCGCCATCCCATAAGCAGGGCCTTTTTCTGGATTCAACCCGCCGCTAGCCTCAGTGGCCTGGGATGGGTGTCTTCAGATCAGAGGAAGGATGTAACTGACGTGCCAGCATGCATTACATCAGCAGGGACACACAAAACAAAACAAACTAACCTTCCCAGGGCCCATACGGATGCTAGGAACATCCGACAGTCTGGCCTGGAGGGAAAGCCTCAGACCGCCTGCTCCCCACAGCTACGGGGATTCCCACCGGGTCGCTGTCCGTGTAACCGGCTCAGGGCCTCTTCTCTCAGACACCTGTGGCTAGTCCCACCCTGCTTTTGGGGGAGGGACCCCAGCTCTTCCCCCAGCATCAGGGCTTGCTGCCTGGGGAGCTGAATCTGGAAACCAGCCTGCTGTTCTACAGGCCAACGTGCAGAAGTCATCAGGAATGATAAAATGAATTGCCCTGGCAACTGCTAGACAGCCACCAGCCTCCCCTATCAGCTCCCGATTCCCCCAGCTTCTTGGTTCCGGTGGGGACTGAGGACGAGGGAGGATCCTGCTACTCTACTCCATTTTGGGGTCTTGTCCTTTTCCCTGTAAACAGTTGCTAGGCCTTTTCCTGAAGCCCCCGCTGTCCTGCCCATCACACAGCTCTCAGAGAGCCAGAAGGTGATGGTTCCCTTTTCAGTTCATTCCCTCCGGGGCACCTGGTATGGGCCACTGTTGGAAGACGGGATCCTGGGCTAGATGGCCATAGTGGGCCAGACCAAAGGTCCATCTAACCCAGGGTCCTGTCTTCTGACAGTGGTTAGACAGCCCCAGCTTCTGACCGAGGTGAGGGTCACCATCCCTGCCCATCCTGGATAATAGAAATTGATAGACTCCATGGCTGCATCTAGACTGGCAAGTTTTTCCGCAAAAGCACGGAAAAACTTGCCAGCTGTCTACACTGGCCGCTTGAATTTCCGCAAGAACACTGTCGATCTCATGTAAGAAATCAGTGCTTCTTGCGGAAATGCTATGCTGCTCCCGTTCGGGCAAAAGCCCTTTTGCGCAAATGCTTTTGTGCAAGAGGGCCAGTGTGGACAACGTGGTATTGTTTTGCGCAAAAAAGCCCCGATGGTGAAAATGGCGATTGGGGCTTTCTTTTGCAAAACCTCATCTAGATTGGCACGGACGCTATTCTGCAAAAAATGCTTTTGCGGAAAAGCGTCCGTGCCAATCTAGACGCTCTTTTCCGCAAATGCTTTTAACGGAAAAACTTTTCCGTTAAAAGCATTTGCGGCAAATCATGCCAGTCTAGACGTAGCTCATGAATTTATCTGCCTCTTTTTTGTCCTGGTCTTTACAACCTCCTCTGGATCAGACCAAAGGTCCATTCTTATGAGCACCATCCAAAGCACGGGGGTGGCCTGTTGCCGCTGCAAGGTTTTCATCCTAACTGGGATGGCTAGTTAGAAACGGGAGAGCTGCAGAAATGTACAGCCTAGGGTTCACCCTGGCCAGGAAAGACTCCCATTTCCAGGTGAGGCTTCAAACCTCCAGCTGAGCACCCCCAGTCTGGCCCATGCTATTACCTGCCCGGGGTTGAGACCTCGCCTCTAGCAGTGATTTCATTTGCTGGCAGGAACTTGGGTACTATGGCAATGAGAACAAGAGAAATGTCATTAACTGGGTAAATGAATCACCAGGCCCTAAGTTATCAGGGTTTCATACCTCCCTAATCAAAATCGGTGTTTGTTCTAATACAAGGAGGAGCTCAACGTGAGCGGACAGAGAAAAACCAAGGCTGTGTGCGTAGCCAATATACCTCAGGGAGCTATGAAGCCACCTTCCAGAGGCAGCCATCAAACACACCAGGGCCACAGTGTGCCTACAAGCCCCTTCAAACTCTAGCAGGGAGAGCCAAGGTCTTAATTAGCCCTGCAGGTGCAACAGAGATCCTGGGCACTTTTCATAATAAGGGGTTTTATTCCTCACTTCGCACCATTGGCTGTTGACAGCCTCCACCCTAGAGGTAGATGCATTGCAGTGTAAATTCCCAACAATGCAAATCTGGTCTACACTTAGAAATTAGGTTGACCTTTCTACGGCCATCATAGGTTTGAAAAGTTCACATTCCTTACCATCCCAGTTCTTTCAACTCCCCCAGTATGGCTACATACTTAGAAATTAGGTTGACCTTTCTACGGCCATCATAGGTTTGAAAAGTTCACATTCCTGACCACCCCAGTTCTTTCAACTCCCTCAGTGTGGCTACACTGACAGAAAAATTCTGCGGACCTAGCTACTACCACCCGAGGAGGTAGATTAGCTGTATGAACTGAAAACCCCATCCAGCCTTGTAGGAAGTGTCCACACTGCAGCAGTTTAGCGGTAGCACTTCTAATGTAGACATGTTCTTAACTAGCTAGATTAGTGCTTGCTACTTGCTGTAGTAAATATTACACCTGCTAGGAAGAGCCTATAATTCCCCAAGCACAGGCGGGATTAGGGATGTGAAAAGTTAACCGGTAAGCATCACCCGTAACAGGCGATATTTACTAGTTCCTTGGGGGGGAGGGGAAGCACTCCAGCCCGGAGCAGCCCCCCTCGATTTGTTAATTGGTTAACCAATTACAGGAATTTTACATCCCTAGTGAGGATTCTCAGAAGGTGAAAAGTGTTATTTAAAAAAATGCACCATAATATTCATTAGCATTATTCACTTTTAGAAATCACATTAGAGACTAAACTGCATGGGCCAGTTCCTGCTTTGGGTGGTATTTAACAAATCTGAAAGTGTGTGAATGATAAAATCCTCTGAACAGAGCTGAGCAGCACAGAAAGGCCAAAAATAAAATCCCCCAACCCATAGAACCCAAGCATACAGACTGCACTAAAATACCTGCTTTATCTCACGTCTTTCCACACGGGAGGATATTAAACAAATGACAGCAGTGAAAGGCAAAGACTGCATTCCAGGAAAGAATAAGGGTAGTGTTTTCTGCAGGGACTTTTGTTTTGGGAACGTGGGGGAGTAACCCACCATGTAGTTCTCTCCCCTCTGTTTCAATCCCATAGCCTTCCCCAGCCAGCACGGCCGTGTCCCAATCCATCCTATTAACACCACCCTTCTGCAGCAGCTAGCCTCGCAGCCTGTGCCCCATTTGCCCCCACTCAATCGGCCAAGTGCTGTTGGAACAACCCTACCACAGAGTCCCAGTTGCCAGCTGGGACCCCAGACCCTAGAACCATGCTAAAGGGGGTTATATCTGCAGTCAAGAGTCCCATTAACCTTCAATGGGCGCCTCGCCTGTGTGAGGACTGCAGGATCAGGTACGGACATGGCGCATGAGAGAGGGAGGAACTGATTTAGGTAATTTACCAAGTGACCATAGTCTGCAGAGGAACCTGGGTACCATACATGGAATAATGCCCATCCTAAACTAGGCCCAACCACAACCCACTGCAGTCCGCATAGGAGATGGAAACAGAGGAAGCTGGAGGATGGGGAGGGAGGAGGAATGATCCACACAGAGAGCAACTTGCACACCGAGAGCACAATTATTTAGAAGCATTTTTATATAGAAAAACCACACACAAATTGCCAGTGTGGACTCAGAGCAGACAAAACAAGCTAACATAGGGTATTTCCCCAAGCTAGAAATCCTCACAACCCCACACGCCAGTTTCTCCCCCTCTCTTGCACATGCACATACAAACACCCTCACACAATTTGTGTAGCACCATTGTTACCCCCCAACAAGTCCTCCCCCCATTTGCATCACCCTCCAATCCGCAACGTAGCCAGTTTCCTCAATTCAAAACAAGCCCTGCCCAGATAAAATGAATCAAAATCCCAAAGTAGCATCACTACATTTTATATTCAATCATAAACATTAAGAGGGAAAAAAAACAGCACACTTACCTGTCTAGTGCACTCTGCGGAGGCCTCACACTCATGATTCTCTATGTCTCCTTCGTTGATCTAAAAATCCAGGTTCCCTCTGCTTTCTTAATTTTAAAATTATACCCTCCAGAAAAAAAAAATTTCCAGACGAGGAAAGCTGTTCAAGATCCTGGAAGCTGCAGGTCCATCTTGAGTTTGAATCTGAACATAGTCTTTTTTTTTCTTTTCTTTTTTTTAATTTTTCCCCTCCTGTTTTCTTCTGAAAAAAACTAAAACACACACTTGCCTTTTGATTACGCCCCAAAATAGTCTTCTCAAGGTTACAGATGCTGTCGGGAAAAAAATAATGGAAACAAAGCAGTTTTTCTTCAAAATATTAAAGTCTTAACTGCAAAACATAGATAAAAAACATCCTTATAATCCAGTTTTAACAGCTGTTCTTCTGTTTGCAGGACAGAGACTTAAAAAAATTCAATAAAACCCCCCGACTAATACTTGAAAAATTATAACAGGGAAAAAATAACAAGAAGCTTAAATTCTCCAACAAACTGGCAGTTCTTTTAGGGTAACAGCCTCCTGGCTATTACTGAAAAATAAATACTTAATACAAATCACACACTAATATGTACACTATTTCTGAGTCCAGTTCAATCTTGTAAAATTAAATTAAAAAAAGATTTCCTAGGGGGGTTTTTTAAACTCACAAACTGCATGTTAAGGTTCCTAAAACTTGACACAAATCGGTTTCTTCTTTAAAAAAAAAAATCCAACAAATCCTGAAAATCCAACACCAGCTCCTGCGAACCCAGCTTCCGGAAACAGCACAGCAAAACAAAACCAAAAAAAATCCACAAGCTCTCTGAAAATAAATGGCAATTCTTTTCTTTGGGTTGCTCAATTAAAAAAAAAATAGACACTCTTCCATGACCACCTTTCCAGGCCTAAGGGGCTGCTTTCTTGAATTGAACTCTGCCTCTGAACCCAAATGTCCTTCTCCTTGCAGCCTAAAAGCAATCAGTCCCTGCAAAAAAAAAAAAAAAAATCCTCCTCTCCACGAAATGGAGAAGTCTTTTCCCTCTTTATTCCTCTTCCTGCCTTTCCCCCCTGCCTGAGCCTTTCAGTGGGAAGGAGAGAGGGAGCAGGGAACACATTCTGCACCAGTGCTTGCTCTGAGCTAGCTGGCAGAGCTAGTTTGCAAGGTCCCTGTGCAGCCAGATCTCTTCCCCTCCCGCCTCCTGTTTTCCTCCTTCTCTCCCTGCATGAAGTGGCAGGGAGGAGGGGGAAAGCCCAGCTGAAAAGCCTGCCCCTGGCTGGCTGGATTAGGGTAGGAGAGAGGGAGCAGGGAACACATTCTGCACCAGTGCTTGCTCTGAGCTAGCTGGCAGAGCTAGTTTGCAAGGTCCCTGTGCAGCCAGATCTCTTCCCCTCCCGCCTCCTGTTTTCCTCCTTCTCTCCCTGCATGAAGTGGCAGGGAGGAGGGGGAAAGCCCAGCTGAAAAGCCTGCCCCTGGCTGGCTGGATTAGGGTTGCTGAGCTGGGGGGGGGGGTTCTGGCCCCTTCTCTCTCCTC